AAAAAAAGTAATTCTTTACGAAGAATTCAGGCGCAATTGTCACTAGGCGGGAGGCATTGATAAACTGAGGCGTGATCACCATTCCACCACGCACTAGGTCGGCCATACACGTATCAACAAACTTTGTTTCCCGAGGAAAGGCTCATAACCCGATTCAGATTTTACGAAGAAATTGGGCTTGTAATCCGAAAAGTTCGTAAATGGGGGAGCATTCGCAAACGGTGTCACTGTACTCAAAAGTATTGTGATCATATTAGTGATTCAATTTCTATGTTCATAAAACAATAAACAAATAGTTCGACCCAGAGAACCCGAGTTGGGACCAGAAAAAGGCAAAACCAACCAAAGGTTCTCAAACCCCCCAAACACCCATTCTAAGATGATCTGATGAAGACGAGGAGAGGAGGCAAACACGGAGAGGCACAAGAAAACAACCCCAGAAACCTGTAATTCAGAAGCTAAACGCCACTCAAGCGAGCAGGAGCAACAAATCCATGCCCAGCTCCCAGTTTACATGAAATATTTTTTTTTTTTAACAGAAGAGAAAACAAAGAGGTGTCTGCCAGCTGGGACCACTCTTGAATCTCATACATCCAACCATGACCTAAGCAAAATTCGGGTTGCACAGAAGGTATGCACAGAGAGCTTTCCGAGCCTCCACAGGGGAAGGTGGGAAACCAGAAACCACCAAAAATGATGAATCTGAGGAACCAAAGGGCAGCCAGAAGTGAACCCTAGGGAGAGGGTGACGGTCACCCTTGTCTCAGGGTGATGATCACCGGTTTTTGCCTCCGTCATGCTGCTTGTGGGGTCGCTGACACCTTCAACCTGGGATCGAGCGGGTCTTGTTGCCCACTCATTCTCCAATTTACCCTTTCTACTTCAGAAGATCTTGGGGTCAAGCGGCTGTCGAATTGCTTGGAAGGTTTAGGTTATTGCAACGCCTTAGGTTGGTTGCCCGTTCAAATGCCTCTGGGCTGCCCCGTTTTGGTTAGTTCAGACTTGGAGGGGCGTTGGTCATTTCTACCTTGGTTCAGTCCACACCCCTGAGTCCTTTCCCTGTTGTTGTGGTTCCTCTTCTGCTGGCTCCCTGCATCTTCTTTCCCTTCCCCCCCCCACCCCCGCTGCTGAAATCTCCCTAACGTCTGAGGGTTTCGTAGTTGGGGTGGGGTTTAGTTGGGGATGAGACTCGGGCGGCTCTGAGGGCTGCCCCATTCATTGCAGGGATGGAGACCTTTAAGCCTGCTCCTCCCACCGAGGGTTCTGGGTCAAACCAGCAGGGCCCTCTTCCTGTTGTCTTTTCCTTGGACTCTGCCTTTCTTCTAGGGTGGGGGGTGTGGAGGGCGCCTCTGCCCTGAGGCCTCTATAGCGGGTTCCCGGGGCTGTGGTGGGAGTCCACTGTTTCTGGGGCTGTTTGCCCCTGCTTGGGCCCTGTACCATCTGGGTGGGAGGGGGGGGGGGTTATTCCCTCATTCCCATCTGCTTTGCTTTCCCCCATTTGCTGGGGTGATTTCGGCTCCTTTACATTGGACGCTTTTCCTTTTGTTTTGGTGGCCATTTTGCTTTTCTGTGGGCGCTTCCCCGCCTGGCCACCAGGGCAGCACTGCGGCTTGTTTGTTTAGATGTGACTGCTGGGGGAGTATGCTCGCATTATGGGGCGTTTTTCACCTCTGTCTGGAGTTTATTATCCTCCTGTTGCCGTCTCTCTGTTTCGTTCTTTCTTTCGGGGCTTCCTAGCCTGTCTGTTCCTCTGGGAATGTTTGGGTGTTGATCTTTTTGCCCGGTCTAGTGTTTTATGTCTGTGTTTGGGTTCTGGGCACTGATTTTGTACCCAGATTCTGTGTCCTGCATGCTCTGCTGGCTCCCAAGTCTTCGGGCCTCAGTTTTCGGTCCATTTTCTGACCATTTTTGCCGAGGGTTCTGTCAGGATCATGTGTCTGGCCCTTCCTTTCTGTGGTGCATTTTCTGCCGGCAAATGTGGTGGTGTTTGGCTCCTCCTGGGTTCGTTTCTGGGTTCCTTCTGTCTATGTCTGTTAGGTGTTCGGGTGTTGGCCTACCTCGACAACTGGTTAGTGTGGGCTCCCAGCCAGTCTGCTTGTCTGCTCGCCAGAGGGGTGGTTCTTTCCCAGCTCACCAGGTTCCGGTTCCTGGTGAACTGGGGGAAGTCCCATCTGGTTCTGTCCCTGGTTCGGACCTGGCTAGGCCTCATTGGGGACTCTCAGACCGCTTCTGTGTCTCTCCCACCCCCCCCTGCAGTGTTGCTGCAGCTGCAGTCCTTCCTCCTGCTGTTCTTGAGGGGAATATCCCGGGTCTCTTGGCGGTTGCTAGAGCAGTTGTGTGGGAGTCTGAACTTTGCTGTGCTGGTTTACTCACCAGGTCGGGTCTGGATTCGGCATCTGTTTTGGTTCTTTTGGGGACGTCCCTTCCGCCTCTCTCGCGACCGCTGGGATCACCACAATGGGCATTGCGTCGGTTGCTGCATTCCCGGTGTCCTCTTCGGCTTTTTCAGAGTTCAGTGCCTTGGTGCCTCCCTAATCCCTAGCTCGATGTGTTCACAGATGCTTCATCGCTCGGCTAAGGTTTTATGCCCAGTGCTCACCAGGCTGACCTGGGCCGGTGGGCTTCGTCCTTCCGTTGGGCTCACAGCACAGTGCGGGAATTTGTGGCAGGTTGGCTTTCGCTGCAGAGGGTTCGGGTCGCTTGGGGCTCTATGATTCGGCTCCATTTGGACTGCGCTCCGGTGGATCCTTGTCTGAACTGCAGGGAATTTTCTTTGGTCTTTGGCTCTTTGGGGCTGGTCACTTCGAGTGACTCGTCTTCTGGATTCTTGGGGTTTAGCTCTCCATACGGCTCATGTCCAGGAACTGCCCAACGTCCTGGCAGATGGCCTGTCCAAGTTCATTCCCCAGTCCACGGAATGGACGGTTGATGCCAACTTCTTCCGTTGGCTCTGCCAGATGTACGGGTGGCTGGTGGTGGACTACTTCGTGTCACCGAAGTCCTGGCATCTCCTGATATATATAGGGGAAGGGCGCAAGGGTCTGGGGTTCCCGTCTCTCCCTTCTGGGGGAAGGGGGTCTAGCTGCACAGACAAGTAGCACGGTAGCGGTGGTTAACGTTTGCTTGTTTGATTGTTTTCTTTGTTTTCTTTTGTGGAGTTCTGTTTCTATTCGGTCCTAGGTTTTTTGCAATCTCCTACCATGTGGGGTTTGTTTTGAGATACTTACCTTTCTGGATGCCTAACCCTGGTTGATAGCAGACAGGGAATACCCCCAAATACAAAGAGGTTTCCCTAGGCCATTGTTCCCTGCGCCTCTCTCAGGGAGTCAGGTTCTGGCTCGTGGTCCTCGGTAGGCAGAACTCCATTGACTAAAGCCCCAGACTAATATAGCATATATTAGTCCTATAGCTCCAGGAAGCTTCCAGGGCTCACCCAAAAAATGCTGTTTCATTACATTTAATGCTGGCTTTTTCAACATACTTTCCAGTCACAGAATGTTCTTTGAGTAAGCTTTTAACAATATTTAGTACTGTATTTGTTTACAGCTTTTTAGAGAATGTCGTTCTGTTGCTGTGATCATACTCCTGAGCAGTTGGCTGAACAGGCAGAAGATTTGAAAGATGGCTTTCCTGCAAGATCCCTTCCTTACATTGTTAGACAAGCAACATGGGAGTAGTATTCCCACATGACTCAGGGTTGAAGGTGTCATCAACCCAGCAGGCAGCATGGCAGAGGTAGAAATGTATGACCATCTCCATGTGGCACAGATGATGCACAGCCATTGAACTCACTCAAAGCTAGTGTGGATTCAGCAGGAATATCCAATGGACCACCAAACCCACAAGGGTTTTTCCATGGTCTGCAGGGAATGGCCCCACAGGAATTCCAGGCACTGGGATTGCTATGCTGGAACCCCGATTAGGAAATAGGTCATCCTGTTTTTTTTTTAAACAAGAAGGGAAATGCCATAACATGTGTTTCTTGTTATGGAACGAAATAGGAAGGGAAGAGTCGAATGGACACATGAATTTGTGTAAGTAGGCCAACCCAGCTCACCAGAGGCTGAGAAATTCGATTTTATCATGCCTTGGTTAGATTATGTGATCCCCAGTGTGTCCTGCCAGTCAAAAGTTCACACCCAACCTGAGGAAAGACCGAAAGCCAAAAGTAAATTGACCTACATAGGGCAAGGACTACCACAAGTGAGGAAGTCCCCTAATGGAGCAAACCTTGAACACTCCGGGGAAGAGAACACTGACAATGCAAGGGCAGTGCTAGGAAGCACATTGGGAAGAAAACCCTGTGCACATGCAGCTCCAAGCACCCTATACCCCTGGCTCATGCACCATAAATATGCAGTGGAACAGCCACAAAGGCAAAAAACGACCACTTAGCTGAAGCAGAACATGGGAGCCAGAGTGAGAGAGAGAGGGCACCACACACTCTGTCTACCATAAGCAAGAACTGAGGGTAGAGCAGCCAACTGACCCAGTCTGCTGCCTTCCTCCCCCAAAATGAGGGTGGGAGATGGGGCAAACGAGTTTGTGCTAGTTTCGTAACTTTTCAATCATTTGTTTACATTGTTGGGGAAAAGCTCTTTTGGTGAGTTTGAGGAACTGATGTTTCCATATAACCAGCAGTGGTCTGTTTTGTTTTGCTGACTTTGTGGGTGCTTCTCCAGTGGTGACAGACATGATCAAAATTCACTGACAATTTGATCATAGTGCCACTGCTCTCTGCACCTCTTTAGAGGAGGGGCCAGATTCTGCCTCATGGTCCCTGGTAGGCCTAAAAAAATCTGCACCTAGTAGTACCTAGTAGTTTGGCACTGTATCATTGTAGCCCCCCAAAAACAAATTTAATGGGGCTTTGAATAGGATAGATAGATATATAGGAATTACAATAGAAAGTACAGCAGGCATAGGCCAAGACTCTCTAAAGGAAACTGTAGTTTCTTATTAACACTCCTGGTGATGTGGTAATCTCTGGTTCTTTGTAGGGCATGAGTATGAGCCTAGGGTATGTGAGTGGCGGCAGTGGGGGGGTTGGGGTAGCCCCAGCTGGGGGTGTAGGAGGGCAATATATGGCAATGGTCCCGCCCCAGCAGCCCCCAACCCCCACATCCCACGCCCCTCCCCAGCTCTTCACAACCTTCTTTAGGCCTTCTGTACAGGTGGGTAGGACCTTGTGCATGAACTTAGTGGGTAGATTTAGATTTGACCAGTAACTTTAGAACTGGATAAAATGGCATGTGTTCTGTAATTAGTAGCTTGTAATACAATGTTTCATATGTTTATTATTCGTGTGATATCAGTCATAAATGTGCCACTGATAATGGAGCAAAGGTATAGTTGGTAATAATATGCATTGCTCCCAAAACAGATGATGGGTGGGTCAGCAGGAACTCCTCCACCACAACCTGTGTTGCAGTATGGGGGTGGTGCAGCCCCACCTACAGGCCCTCCAGGGACTGTCACCCCACATCCTCCTGTGTTTGCTAAGCCTTATATGGGGCCAACCATGCACACCATCATGCCAGGACACTTACCAGACCAATCAGGTATAGGCAAGGATGACAAGCGGCTTATGACCATGACACAAAACATGGGTGGTGCTCCTGGTGGCCCCACAGCTCAACTACTGGCTAGACCTTACTCCATCATGCAAAGTTAGTTTTATTCTTGTTTAGTCTTTTAAAGCCTCTCATAAATTACTTGCTAAGTCCCCTTGCACAACTTACCAGTATAAAGAATCTGAAATAGAATTCGCCTGTACAGTATTTTCTTGAAAAAGTATGTGGAAGCTATTGTTAAAGCTGTGTCTCCCCTTTAAGGTGATATGCGGATATTTGGGGGAACAAGCGGGCTTCCCAACACAGGTGGGATGAGTGGTGGCAGCCTGCCTGGTGGTGGGGCTCCAGGGCACATACGGGCTGCACCTTTACTTCTTGCAGGGGCGCGCCCGAGACACCCAAATGCCTTCACGCCCACCCCACTTGCCCCCCTCAGTCTAGCAAGACCACCTAAAGTGCGCAGACAAAGGTCACGAACTTCTTATGTCCGTAGCACTGAAGTTATGACACCTCAGCTGTCAGTGGAAGGCCAAGAGTCAAATGATTGAAATTATTATCCTGCTATGCTTTGAAGCAATCATCTCAAATCAAGCTTTTACAGTGGGAATAATATATATATATAGATAAAGTAAAGTTATGTGATGCTTATCACAAAGTTTACATGTATCTCCTAGATAGGTGCTGCAGTGATGGTTGATGAAAGCCTTACGTAGTGTCCGTTGAGTTCTGTATGTTTTCAACACCCAATCTGTTGAATGTTATAGGCTGTGTTGAGGATTATAAGTGTAGTGGTAGTGCAGTGGATAATCCTCAAACACAGCCATTTAAAAACGCCATGTTTTAATATTGTAAGAAAGTACAGATATATGTAGAACTGCAAGGTGCAAATAAATTTATTTTTTGAGAGTTTCTGACTAACTAGAATTACTGAAAGAATGTGAATACAGTATATTTAATATGCCAGCAATGTAATACCTCAGAGTCGTTACCTATATGGTGCAGTATTAAAAAAGAAACATGCAGACATCGGTTTGGAGAGACACTCAAGTTAATTAATACAGTTGTGAGAGAATGATTTTAGTGTTATTATCTTTTGAATTAATTTTTACCACTGTAATATTAATTCTGCTCCTTAATATCTTTAAGGCTGCATCTTCACTCATGATAACATGACTCATTAGTCATAACAGTATGGTACTCATTAGTCATGGCAATAAGGTACTCATACTCCATATACCTAAATGGTTTTTAATAACCTGTTACATCTTAACCATTCATACTACTGTATTTTCATGATTTTCCTTACATTTCATGTATATTAGTCACCTAACCATTTCCATTCATAAGAGCATCAACTCGAAGCCATCATTCCCAAAGACCGTCAACTCCTAAATTACTCATGCATTCTCAGTTTTTTTCATAATCATGTAAACATACAATATATTTATCTATCTCTTTGCCATTGTAATTCAGATTTTTAACCTTGATCATTCTGTCTACTAAATAATTTATATTTTAGAATTGGTTTACAAAATGTTATTACCTGTATATTACTGGGCTTGCATTCACCTTTCTTATGTGCCTCTTATAACTGTTGCCCTAAACAATGTCATTTCTCAACACATTTAAATTGGAATTTTACATTGTTTCTAAAACTGTCACATAATTTAAAATTTAAAAGTAATGTTAATGCAATCTTCTAAATATGTGTGTTATTTAAGTTGAGTGCATCTCCTGAACGTAATATTAAAATCTTCTGATATAAACAATGTAATGGAAAAGAAATCTTGGCAGCAATAATAATAAACTTCTTGAAAAATCTGCAACTGAATGCAAAAACTTGATATTTGCATGGTGGAACATGTAGGAATGCAGTCATATAAAGTGTAAAGGAAAGTCTTGTCTAAGCAGATTAAGCAAGGATAATGTTGGTAATAAATAAATAATATATATATATATATATATATATATATATATATATATATATATATATATATATATATATATATATATATATATATATATATATATATATATATATATATATATATATATATATATATATATATATATATATATACATACATACACATTAAATGTATAGTAATTTATATACCATCCAGGATAGGGCTGCAACATACATACTATATAATGCAGAAAAAACAATAATCACCAACCACAAACTACACTCTCAAGGTCCATTAATTATTACCATTCAGTTTTTTCAAATATAGATTACATTTTTATTTGTTGAGAATCAGGTTCTAAATATCTTGTTTACTGAAAATAATAGTTGCTAGAGCAAAAGGCTATTTAAATACTCAACTGTGTAATTAAAATTCACTAAGAAATGGGCTACGGTTACATTCATAAGTACAGCATATTGTTATCGAGTGACTTAAGAGCTAATATAACATAAAATAGTAGTAGTCTGCCTCCAGAACTTGAGAATTGAAGAGGAAATAAAGATTGCGAACAAAGATATTGAAGATAAATATATTACATTAATGAGGTGAGAGTGTACAAGTGTCAGTGAGCTACAACTAAATTTAGAAGACTAATGTTGCTAATTCTCTACGAGAAATGTGTCCAAATTATATACCCACTGAAAAATGCTGTTTTGTAATTCTTGTAGTGAACTCTTTTTACCTGTTCTGCAACCTGCCATGCACTTTTAAAAGTATTTAATGATGCAGAAATCTTTATTATTCACTATTTTTGTACAGCTATTTGAAACACCTACCTACTGTTGCTTTTAATAGTCATTGATCTAGTCTTTGCTGATCTGCATCAAAGGTGATGAACTAAGTTGACATTGTTGATATACACAGCAATTCTGCTAGAAGCCATCTGTCAATGAAGAAGGAACTCCAGTATGTTGCTCTTCTACCATAAGTGTTGTGCTCCACTAAAATATGAAAAGAGGGTGATACAAAATTAGGAAAAACCTCTTGCAGTTTTAAGTCAGCCAACATATAGTGTAAAGTGAGCAGTGCAGGTTATCCGGTAGCACTTATCATATCTCAGTAATGTCTAGGAAATGAGTCATTCAGCAGTGAGGAAAGTTGGGTTATCATCTATTCCCTCCTATCAGAGCACAATATGTCGTGTACTAAAATGAAGCAGAATTTGCGATTATGGCTGCTAAATGATGTTCTTAGTGCTCTTGTGTAAATCTCAAATAACAGTACAAGATGTATTAAAATAGGTCATTAAACAACCAGTAATTGTGGATGCTGTATTTTAAAACTCTGATATCTCATAAAGATATTAAGATCCTTCATTTACTATTGTCCCAACACAAGTCTTTGTTTTCATCTTTAAATTTGTTTGTGCACATCCTTCTTATTCTTCAGTAAAATAATTGGCTTGTTTTCAAACTAGCCTTTGTAGACATATAGGGACCTGCTTTAGATGTTAACTTAGTCAGGATGGTACTGATCACAAATTTTTACTATTGTTTTAAACCTTTTTATACTTCATGTTGTATTATTATTTGTATAAAAAATACTGCATATAAATAATGTACCTATAAATTTTACTACTAGCAACTCAACAATATTTGATTCTATAAACTTTTAATGAGAAAATGAATAACAAGAATTTTTCCTTTTTAAAAATAATTTTCTAAGTATATAAACAGTCATTCCCTAATGAAGATTTAAATGAATAATGTATAAGAACTTTTACATTTAGTTTCATCAAAATTTAACAATTCTTATTTAGTATTAAACTTGTACTTAACCTGTTCCAGCTCGAATAATTTCCATCTAAATCATGTCCCTTTAGTGCGTTTTGTTGATGTTCTAGTTAATGTCTCCTCATGTTGATTAAGACAGAACTGTTATTGTGAAGTCTGATTGTTTTCACCGTAGGATAAGGAATCTCACTGATTTTACCACATCCTCTGTAGTCAGGTTAACTTATCCCAATGATCTCGTGCCCTAGTCATATATTTATTTTATATGCCCAACCCAAAGATTCACTAAAAAAGGAAAGAAGTATTGTTGATGAGTTCAGTGAAATCTGTTATAATGCTCTGTTCAAATTATTGTTAAAGCAAACCATTTCTGCATAAAAAAACAATAGTAGTTTGTTTTTTCCTGCAGTAATAGTTAAATTTATTCCTACTTCCTAAGGAGAGAGAGATTTTATATATACATACATAAAGTATTATATTAAAGTAGCCTATCTGATATGGCATGTGAATAATGAATACTGAATTTTTCATACTTCATAGCCTATATTAAGAGAAATAATGGGTGAAAGGGGAAGTTTCTGCTGACATTTCAAGGCTTCTCAATTTTGGGATATCTCCAAGTTTTTAGGCAGTGCCAAGGCTTAACAAACAATACCGGTCAATGTACGTGGTTTGATGTTCGTTTATCATTCTCAAAATGTTAATATTTCATTATTAGTCATAACAATGATCACCTTGATCATATTCCTTTTTGAATTGAGCATTTTTGCTTAACTATTATCTTTGCTTTTAAAGTACACAAAGGTTTTCTTGTCAAATGATGTCAGGTTAATTGTTATCTTCTGAACTGATATATAATTCTTTTAAATTCAGACCTGCCTTAACTGATCTTCTGAAAGGGGCCTTTATATTTGTATTGTGCTTGTTTTTTCTTGTTGGTTAAAGACCAGTAAGACTTTCTCCAAACCATTATCCCTAAAACCATATCCTATTCTTCCCCAGCCCATAGACCCCACCCATATCCTATTATTCCCCAGCCCATAGACCCCACCCATATCCTATTCTTCCCCAGCCCATAGACCCCACCCATATCCTATTATTCCCCAGCCCATAGACCCCACCCATATCCTATTATTCCCCAGCCCATAGACCCCACCCATATCCTATTATTCCCCAGCCCATAGACCCCACCCATATCCTATTATTACCCAGCCCAAAGACCCCACCCATATCCTATTCTTCCCCAGCCCATAGACCCCACCCATATCCTATTATTCCCCAGCCCATAGACCCCACCCATATCCTATTCTTCCCCAGCCCATAGACCCCACCCATATCCTATTATTCCCCAGCCCATAGACCCCACCCATATCCTATTATTCATACCCATACTATCTGCTCAGCTACGATGTTATTGGCTTTCTCACCCTCAATTGCTAATGTTTGATAAATAAGTTCTTACTCCCAGAATTTTATAATGACAACTGAAGTTTTATCTTTAGATGCATAATAGATAGACCACATACATTAACATAGAGAAATGGGAACTCACTAAAGCTGTAATTAGGCAGTAGGATTTCATACTTGTTAATTTATTTTTCATAAATTTAGCATACCAAGGTGTGCTCAAAATTAAAATATAATGAGTGACATGGTAAAGCAACTATCAGTGTTATATGTATAAGGGACCTGAACCACCCTGAGTTTTAGACTTTTTTTTTTTTTGAGACTGTACAGCTTATGGTCATGACAGCTGGCCATGTAAGAAACTGTCACAACTAAGTTTCTGTAGACCATTATTGAGTAAATATATAAACTGTACAGGTAAATATTAAACTACATATTAGTATGGTAGTCCTTAATTTTATTACCTCGGAATAAAATTCAGTAGCATGCTAAAGTGAGATTTGACCATGTATAATCTATGTACCATGATTTCCTCATCAAAATTATAATAAATTTGAATTACAAGAGGTATTGTTTTTAAGGCAATAAAATGTTAGAAAATTAGATGCATTGAAAATTTAAACAAATGTTGATACAGTATAATCTTAGTACAGTATTTATAGTAACACTTTGTGTAACGAGGTGACTAGAAACAGAATTGGATTTCATCTAAACTTCAGGAATTCATATGGTAACACATGATTCAGTAAGTTCATAATTTTTGTTCATAGGTCTTCCAGAGTTTTTTGGAAGTTTTTTCTCTTGGAGTGAATAGGTGGAGAATGTGTGTGCATGGGTACCTATGAGTGACTCACTGAGAGACTATGTATACTGCAGTAAGAAATGAAGCCACTCAGGGACCAATATGTTGGCTGAGAATAAGGAACACTATACCTTT